TAATATTCGCAAATGCATTTTTGCTAAAATCCAAAAAGTAAAAAGATCCAGGATAACACCACTTTTTGACCACTTTAACAATGGGTTTTGTGTGACGTCGTGTGAAATTGTTGCACATAATTATGCGTTTTTTCGGGATTTGTACAGGTTAAACTGTAGATTCACCCCGTGTGATAAAGTCCTAAGTCTAGATGGAAACAACCAATGACAGAGAGCTAGAATGAAGAAGGGTGCAAAAGGAGAAAGGAAACTGAGGGGGGAAATATATCTTTCCAGAGGAGACTCACTGATTGACTGAAGATGCAAGCTCCCAAGGAATAGTTTTTGAAGACAAAGCTGTGCCAATCTGTTCAGGATAAAACAGAAAAGTAGGGGAGAGGAAATGAACAAATTCAGAGAATGATTCATTTTAACAAGAGCTAAACATCAGTGCATCTAAAGCAGTGAACTGATTTCCAGGGAAGGCCATGCTAAAATTGATGATGATGATGATGATGATAGATATAGCTGTATAGTCTGTAGAATCAGTATGAAGAGGGATCTTTGAGACTAACTGAAAGAAAGCTGGCAACATAAGCAAGCATTCATAGGCTTAAGTCTACTTCCTTAGATGCATATTCAATAATAAATTGTACTTCTTTTCCGCCTCTCCTCAAAGCTTGAAGCAGGGTACAACATGTTAAAATACAAAACACAGTTAAAAACAAAATACAAAATGGAGAACATTTTGGAATCCCTCCTGGAGAGAAAGAAGCAGCCTTGGAATGGAGGACAGGTCCTGGGGGGAAAAGGAGGACACCTGGTTGAGGCACCAGAGCTCTCTCTCTCTGACAGAGAAGGCTGAAACCCCTCCCCCCAAACTACAAATCCCACGGTTCTGTAGGATGGAGCCACGGCAGTTAAAAGTGGTGTCAAACTGCTTAATTTCCACAGTGTAGACAAACACTTCGAATGCTTGAAACAAGTATATATTGTGTTAGGTTGGCCAATAAAAGTATCACTACTGATGGATTTTTGTTTACATATACAGTACATCCCAGTTTGAGCTGTTGTCTGTGGAGAATCTGGGATGGGAAGCCTCTCATGAAGTGGGGAGGGCTGAAGGAAGGAAGAAAAGAAGGAAGGAAGGA